GTTTACTCGTATTACCTATAGATATTATTTAAGGTTGAGCTGCTGTCTCAGACAGATGTGATAAGTCGCTGGGAATATTATATAAATATATATATTGATGCAACACACAACCGTAGGTACACTCACTCGCACACACACACACACATACACGCATGCTCATACACACACACATTATACCAATAGCCCTATGTATTTCGCAAGCAGGATAAACCAGTGATCAGTGACCAGAACCAAGATAAACGTAAACCTTGACCCAATGACCCCGGGCCACATATTGAACTTAATTGTTTAACGTTCGAATATACACACTTAAACACTCAGTTTGGCATAGAAGCTAAACAACTCGAAATGACGAAGCTTTGAACTCATTTTACTTTTGTTATTTTTGTTTTCGTATTATCCTGTTATTTCGTTTCTTTCGCGTTTTTTTTAGACTTAAGTACCAGAAATTTCGAGTGAAATATCTTTACTCATCTTCTCTCTAGATTTTTTTTTTTTTTTTTTTGCATAGTTATTATTAATTTGTTGTTTGATTTGTAGTAAATTAATGTTATACATTACTCGATATGGTTGCAAATTGTTTTGCATTATTTTACCTTTGTTGTAGTTGTCCTTGCTGGCGCCTCCATTTCTAAAAGAGGATATTGAATAACTTATTTAATGTTTTTGGATTTTGATGGTTGTTTTTGTTTTGTTTTTGGATTGTAATGCATTATGATGGAAGTTAACGCCCACGAACGTCTCCGCTAGTATCATCGTACAACAACATGTGACTATATACATACATACGTACATATACACACACATACATGCAAATATGTATGTGTGTACTGTTAACTAAATCAATTATTTAAACATACAAAAAAAGCGTCTCATGATCTTTACCAGCTCACTTTGATGCGCATTCGATAATCCAGCGACATTCGAAGTGATCTGGTAAATAATCATCCATTGGAACAGAAATGTTTACAACTTTTAAAAGCTACGTAATTAGTTTTACTCAAATGCTGAATACATCTGTGCCACCCTCAAATTTACATATTACAATTATAATGTGCGACGTTTGCCTGGATTTTGTCAGAGAAAACGTATTTAAGGCATATAGCTTTATCGGTGCACCGAGGCTTCACTGTAACCATGCAGACAGTTAACGCTTCCTTCGCGCATCAAATATGTCTTATAAATTACATAGTCCTTATAGATAACATGATTATAATTTGTAAAAGTATAAAAGTTTATATTTTTGGTTATGATTTGTTGTTTCTTTGTTCAGATGTAAGTCGTCGTTAATCTATTCTTGGCTCTGCATGGATACATTTTGCATTCATTTTTAAACATTCCAAATTATGATGAACATACATATATGAAACATATTTCGAACCAAACTACATTTGTTTTCATTTTATAATAACCAAAATACGAAATTGATTTCTTCAATGTTATATATACACACATAACCCCTATTTTTATATATAATATCATTCAAATTCACTAAAACAGCTTAAATATATTGGACGTACACAACATTTTGCTCGACTTTTGCTTTCTTTTTTATAGGAATTGCATAGTAATAGAAAAGCACATACATTTTCAATAATTATTTTTTGCTACTTATCGTTAATATTATTAAAGTTTAACATACTATTAGTAACATGTACATACATTTATTATAACTATATTTATTGTGATTGTGATTAGGCATTGATTACACACAAATTGTAATATTCAAATACTAAATATATATATTTTTTCACATTATATTTTTAACATAAAACATGTACGAATTCGATATAAACTACTTTATATTTTTTATTTTGTATAATCCAAAAAGCGCGCAAACACAACAACTTTCCAGTTACGTTCTAATTTGAATGTGACAATCGATAAATCGACAATTGATTGCTGCGACTACGACTAAGTTTAAAAGAGTACTTAACATCCCAAGTGTTATACAAACACCTTTGTGTATAACAGTTGCGGTTTAAACGGCTTCAACTACTACAAATGCCAATGATTAATTCCTTAAATATCTGTTAAAAAGCTTAAAGTATAACGCAGTTTTATATGGATGATCTATACGAAATATGCAGAATGTGTGCTCAAATAATGAATTATTTGCTGGATTCAGAAAGTGAGAGCGAGGGAGAGACAATTTCAGAACGTATGAGAGAGCGAGTAAAATCGATCCCTTTCAATGCTGGAGGGCGTCCGTCTCAACAATTCGGGAGAGAGGGAGAGAGAGCTATATTTGTAAATCATATTGTTATAAGTCGCATCGAGCAAATCATCGTTTTCGTTCACCATTTAATTTAGCTTAAAATCAAAGCATTTCATACAAATGAGAGTTCATTAAATGTTAGTCGATATCAGTAGTACGTATACATTCAGATAGACCTTTCGCAGATCAATTCAGAATTGTAAATTACTCTCCTCATCACTCTGTAATTATCAATTAACGATCTGTACACTATGTAGATGACAGCATATTATGCTTTCGAATATCTTGGATATACAACCATACAATAATTAGAGATCTATATATATGTTAAACCACCTTGATTCGTTGTCATTATATTTGTACTTAGTACTTTTAGTTTTAATTTGGACACATAATTCATTTCATTAGTGAGGACCAAATGTACATCATTATAGTTCAATGTGCGCTCGAACAAAATAAATAATCATTTTTACATCTGAAATACCAGCTTGAATCTAATTGTCTTTGCATTATCTTGTTTACCACGATAATACGAGTTTTTCATATTTGTATGCGACATGGACTTTATAATATATATATAAATAATAAAATTGGCTCTAC